GAAAGAGGAAATAGAGGGGAGGGGTGAGATGCCCCCACAAATCCTTGTGAGTCCCCTGCATGTAATCATATAATGTCTGTTTAGATAAGGATATAGAAGCATCAAGAGAGAAGTCATATTTAAACTAAGGGAGCGTGTGGAATGTTCTAGAGAAGTGCCACAGGAAGTAGTGGCTGTTACAAGCATGGATGGCTTCAAAAGGGAATTAGATAAGCATATGGAGCAGAGGTCCATCAGTGGCTATTAGCCACAAGGTATAGATAGGGGCTCTGAGGCAAGTGATGCTCTGTCTTCTTGGTGCTTGGGAGGGCTTCTAATGTCCTGGCCCCACTGGTGGACCTCCTGATGGCACTGATATTTCTGGCCACTGTGTGACACAGAGTGTTGGACGGGATGGGTCTAGTCTGTTTTGCTTTTCATCAATGCAGAAGTTGATATAGACAGTAGTTGCATAATATTGATAAGTGTATTCTGAACAATTTTAGGTAATCTGCTTTAATCTAACCTCAGAACTCAGCACTGCATAATATTTTTGCCAATATTTTGGCCTCTAAAATATTCAAAACTAGGAAAAAGGCCCGTTGTGGATGAAGCTAAAGAGTATCCTTGAGTCCTCCAAGAACACCAAAAAAGTAAAAGCTGAACAGTGGTTCCTCAACACATAATTAAATGCTCTGTCACATCTGGAGCAGCCGGGGAGTTATGTGAGGCTGTTGTTTGTGGATTTCAGTTCTGCCTTTAATACCATCCTCCCAGATAGATTAGTGTCCAAATTGGAGGGCCTTGGACTCTCCAGCTCCATATGTTTTCGTCACATTGGCTGTCATACAGGGGCCACCTCAGCAGCATATAAGGATACAGAGCCCACCATTTTCTCCAGGGGAACTGATCTCTGCCATCTGGAAAGCAGTTGTAATTCTGAGTGATCTCCAGCCCTCACCTAGAGATTGGACACATTTTACCTCAGAACAGCAAAACTGTTTAGAATGTTAGAGGCAAAAGCCAATCAAATCGCATATGCAAATGACCTCTGTGTTCCGAGACAGAGGCCAATGAGGCTGCATATGCAAATAACCTCTGTGTTCTGACTGGCTATGGGGGGGAGAGGAAAAGCAAACTGTTTAGAATGTTGGAGGCAGGACTCAGGCAAAGCAGCCAGTGGATAGGGAGACCCTCTGAATGACAGAGAGTGAACTGATTTTGGAGCGTGTGGAATGTTCTAGAGAAGTGCCACCACCATTCGGCTTTTATTTATAAGGGAGATTGGTACTATTTCAGCTTTTTTTGTCTTTGCAAAATTTTAATATTAAAATCTTAGTATTGTTCATCCTGGCCGTTGATATGTGGTTTACAAGATAACTTACCATATATTTAAAAATAAACTCTACCTAAATATTTAATATGTCGGACTTGTTTTTGTTTACTCTTTTCTAATTGTTCAAATATGTCTGGAAAGATTTACAACCTATTATTTTACATTCCTTTATAATAATATATGGCTTCCCCTGTTGGCAAAAATTATAATTTCAGCAAACATCCAGGACTTAATTCTGCTTGTAGAGTTGCCAGCTCTGAGTTCAGAAATACCTGGAGATTTGAGGGTGGAACTTGGGAGAGTGGGGTTTGGGTAGGGGAAGGACCTCAGGGTATAATGCCATGCAATCTACCTTCCAAAGCAGCCATTTTCTCCAGGGGAAGTGAAATAAATGTTTCTAATAAATAAATAAGTGATTAATGTAGTATGGAGATCAGTTGCAATTTCAGGAGATCTGCAGCCCCCCTGGAGGTTGGCAACCCTAGCTGCTTGCAAAAGGAGGCCCATGCTGTCCATATACAATACATTAGGCAATTTTACTTCCCTGACTCTGAATCTACATTATTGATGTAGATGTTAAAAAGAAAAGGAGCTAAAATGCAGTCTTGCCTTATGCTATATGTGTGGACATCAAGTCAGTTAAATGACCCTTAACATCAAACTAGATTCTTCCATCAGTAGTGGGGAACAGTAGTGGGGCACTGTTACTAACTTGAGGCCCCTGCCACACGGCAGGGGATAAGTCGCTCAAAGCGCGGCTTTCAAAAGCCGTGCCAAAGTTGAGACGCCGCGGCGGGATCCCATGATCCCCTGGGCTGTGGCGCCTTTTCTCCCCGGCACGATCAGATGCCGGGGAGAAAACACAGTTCAGACGGGGAGCCTGCCGAACTGCGCATATCGGAGCATGCGCAGTTCGGCTAGGAGCCGGGGATGAGCCGGCGCAAAGACGCGCCGGCGATCCGACGGCCCGGCTTGCGGCGCTTCAATCAGAAGAAATCACCCAGGTTAGGTGGTTCTTTTTGGTGCGGGTTTTCGGCCGGGAGAGACGGATCGGAGACGGGCAGGCAACGATTCCCAGATGTTGCCGTGGGATCGTGCCCGTTTAATCCGCCCCCGTTCTGTCTCGCTCCAGGATCAAAACCCCTCGAATGAACAGGACCAAAGTTTCCTATCAGTATAAATTCCGGAAGAACTTATTCCATAATTCACTGGTAACTATCAAATCCAAAGTATTTGACAAATGTATAGAAGCTAAGGATAACCGATATCCAGAATATCCTGAATATTTTTGAAAATGGGAATCAAAGCCATGAAATTTGGAATTGACTGCTTGTTGTAAAAAAAGCCATTTTGCCCTTTCTAGTCCTTGGGGCATTTTTGTTCACTCCTGTAAACTGCTGAGAACTGCTATCACTTGTGGTATGGAATGGCCTTTCTGAGATCATCAGGAATGCCCTTCTGGCCTGATGAAAGCTATGCGAAACTGAGGTGTTAAGGAGGGCTTTTTGAGTGTGAACAGGGCAATATTGACTAATTTATGGCTTTTTAAACTTCTCTTGTTTTGATAGTTTTAAATGTTGTGATAATTTACTGTGAGTCTCATTTGGGAGAAAGCCAGACTATAAGAATGGTAAATAAATGAACAAAATACCTATTTTAGAAGTTGAAGTTTGTCAGTAGTGCTAAAGAAACTGTAGAGCATATAATTACCTGGATCAGATCTTTCCACTGTGAGTTTTTCATCACCCTTGGTGTCTGTTCTAAGTGTGCTTGACAGGTTTAAATGAAGCTTATTATCATGTAAGTAAGTTTAGGATTGCTAGTTTTGTTGGAAAACTTTAAAATTAAAGTCTGATAGCTTCTGGACTTTTTTTTTGTTCTTATATGAAACTTTTTCGATTAAAATTTGTGGGAAACTTTATTATGTGAACAAATGCTTCCAGATGAAAGTGCAATTTCAGTGTAAATGTACATGGCAGCAAGCAATTCAGTCTGTAATAGTAGTAGCAGTTTTGTTGCAATCTAAGCCATAATCATGGCAATATTGAAAAACATTGTTCTCAATAGGCAGTTCCAACTCTTGACCGTGTAAATGTACATGGCAGCAAGCAATTCAGACTGCAATCTAAGCCATAATCATGGCAATATTGAAAAACATTGTTCTCAATAGGCAGTTCCAACTCTTGACCCTTAAACTAATCAGAGTTCCTTGATTTATGTGGTGTCTCTATTTTAAGTTTATGTTGTATGACTTTAACCTGTTGTTTGTATTATATCTTGATTGCATATGTGTTCTGAGAATTGCTTCTGAGCATACATTTGTGAAACATTCTCTACCACCCAAAGTAGCATATAACCTTCCTCCGTTTAAGGAGCTGATTACTTCAAGTCAACTAAGAAAAATCCTTTAGCTGAAACAAATATGTTATTTAAAATGTACTTTTAATGTACTGAGTCCAGGGCAGCCACTCTACCTGGCATGGGGGGGAATTCCCTCCTGTGAGTATCGTGGGCCCACACTTGTTTATTTATTATTTATTTATTTATTCCATTTATACCCCACCCTCCCAGCCATGGCCAGCTCACTTATTCCCTCTGTTAGTGAAGTTTGTGGTTGAGTGTCTGTCAGGAAGAGAGATCGAGGTGGTCAGCCGTGTTGGTCTGAATCATTCTCTTTCACTACATCCTATAGCAAAGATTGCTAAGCCTACTGTGAGTAATGGAGTGTATATCATTCTAATATGGCAGTAAACTCTATCTCCAATAGACATTGTCATATGGTGCTATGTGCACCAATAGGGTTCTGAGTATTACAACCCAAGTGGTATCAGAAATGTGTAATCTGTTCCTCTTAACTATGTAGTTTCTTCATTAACACAGCATTATAAAATTGTCTTTTCATGCTAACATTAATAAGAATTAAGATGTTTGTGCACGTGTAAAGCTTTGTACTGAAATTAATCATTAATTTATTACTGAAACAACGTTTTCTTTACAGTATCAGTTTGATGTACCATTTAAAGTTAAAGCGGGTCACATTGGTAAGTTTTTGGTTTTTTACCTGTTTTGCTACAACCTTTTCCTTTTATATATGGTATAAAATCTTGTTCTAAATGCTTGGATCTGGTTTGGAACTGGTTTCTCCTAGTTTTATAATTCTCTTTGTTTTTTTGAAGGCTGTATATTTAATTCTGTTTTGCTGCCAGCCTAGAAAGTTTTCTAAAAACCTAATTTGGATTTTAACATTTAGTTGATTAATCAGTTACATATTTTGCTTAAAATGACTCAATCTATAGGATGGCAGCAGCAAAGGATTGATTTTAATGTTTATTTATTTTTATTTATTTTTCGCATTTATACCCCGCCCTCCCCATGGGACGAAACATTTTCCCATGGGACGAAACACCTCTTCTTAAGATTACACCTGTAACAACATATGTAGGTGTTATCTGAAATTAGTGTGCTTTTTATTTAGAATTATTGTTTCTTGCAATAATTTATGCAGACAATCATATAAAACCGACACAATTTCTTTAATTGGCTGACAACCAATAAACATCCCTCCTTCTAATTAACTGCCTGCAACACAGAGGGGGCTGTCCACAGTCAAGGAAAGAGTTTCAGTATGCTTGGTATGCAGAAAAATATGACCGAATCCAAAATAGCCAAATGAGAATTAAGTATTCTTCAGGAGGAGTTGTTCAGAGCAGTTGAATAGTGAAAGGTGTCGGTAGGGAATCAGCAAGTTGAAGCCTCATAGCATGCTGGAGAGGGAGATTTTAGGGCTGTAGATATTTTATTCTCCTCCCTGCCATTCCTTGTTGTCTCTTAGCTTATTTCTTCTATGAGTAAAATGGCTGGCTTCAGTAGTCCAAGGCATCAAAAAGGTCTGGCCATAACTGTGAGGGAGTTTCTGCATACCTAGGGCAAACTCCTAGCCCTGATATGGATAGCCCAGCCTAGCCTGATCTTGTCAGATCTCAGAAGCTAAGCAGGGCCAGTTCTGGTTAGTTTTTGGATAGGAGACCACCAAGGAAGTCCAGGATTGTGATGTAGAAGAAGGCAATAGCAAACCACCTCTGAATTTCTCTTGCCTTGAAAACCCTACAGGGTTGCCATAAGTCAACTGCAACTTGATGACATTTTCCACCATTACCAGGGCAAAGTTCAGAAATGTGGGAAAATATTAATTCTGAATGAACACGGCACATGTGTCTGTCCTTATTTCAGTGGAACCCTGACAGCATGAAGAAGAACTTAGCCACAAGCCCTTGTCTGTGCCTGTTGATAGTTAAGCTGAATGGAAGCAAGCAGCATAGCTCACCATTTGCTTCCATTCAGCCTAAAGGCTGTTGGTGGGAGGGGAGAGGGAGGAGGTGATTTATCCTCTTCTCTCCTCAAGATTGCTTGCTAGCTAGCCCCAGTTTATCTATATACTATTAGCCATGTGGGCCTCCCATCTGCAGATAGCTAAATCCAAGGATCAGGAGGACCACATGGAGGCTACACACATTTTTCAGCAAAGTTGGGGCACTCCCTGGGTTTGCAGAAAAAAAATGAAAATTAAAAAACAAACAAACATGGGGATTTAAATCCCCTGAAAAGTAAAGTAGCGTTCTTTGCGCTTGTGGTTGCTGCAGTCCCTGAGTTGCACTAGGCCAGGTGGCGGTAGCCAGATGGGGCATGGTGCCAGCAGTGGCACAGCCTGAAACTTACCTGATGGTTGTGCAGCTGAGGAACCATGCTGGGCCTGGCAGCAGTGTAGCTCAGGGCCCAGCTGCGCCTGGTGGTGGCAGTGCAGCCTGGAAGCTGCGCAGGGTGTGCTGTTTGCAGTGGCACAACTTGGGAGTCATGCTGGGCCTGCTGCTGGCAGCAGTGTAGCCTCCGAGTCATGCTGGGCCTGGCGTGGTGGATTCACCCCTGCGAGTATCGTGGGCCCACACTTATTTATTTATTATTTATTTATTGCATTTATACCCTGCCCTCCCAGCCATGGCCAGCTCACTTGTTCCCTCTGTTAGTGAAGTTTGTGGTTGAGTGTCTGTCAGGAAGAGAGATCGAGGTGGTCAGCCGTGTTGGTCTGAAGCAGTAGAACAAAATTAGAGTCCAGTGGTACCTTTGTTGGTCTTCAAAGTGCCACTGGACCCTAATTTTGTTCTGTCAGGAAAACAGTGAAGTGGGGTCAGCTGGAGACAAGGTAGGAATTTCATATTTGGGAGACTCTACATGAATGTGTAAAAATACTACTTAACATATTAAAAATGGAACCCTTCCATCCTAACAATGCCCTGATGAGAACTACACATGCCTGCTGCAGTTTGTAGAGAACAGTGGAGAATCAACTGTAGTGATGAGGGGAAGAAAAGAAAATAGATGAGGGATATTACCCCAGGCAAGCTGTAAGACTATAGTATGGGAGGGTTAGGTTAGGAGTGATTTCCCAGTTGCTTCTTGCCTTTCCTAGTAATTCCTTTTGATCTCTAAGATCATAAACTGTTTATAGCAACTTTAGCATACAGGGTGAGTTCAAGTCTTCATTTGTAGTAAATTAGTAAATGCCTAATTTTTCTTGTATTTCAGATTTTATTACTGAATAAAATATGTTGTCTTCTGCTGCTAGGTTGTGAGGTTACTTGTCTTGTCAACTAATTTATTTTTTCAGGCCAAAAAAAAATTATAGAAACATTAAAATTTCACACTTCTTTCCTTCTCTTAAAATTATTCTTTCCAGGATAACCAGAGGTGCCCCCCCTGCATTGTGCTACTTTTTAGGCAACTTGCAATAGCACCTGATACATAAAATGAGAATGAGTGTCTTATTTTTCTTATGCTATGTTTTAAATCTTTGCGATACATTTGTATTGGAGCTTCATAAAATTTTATTGCATTCTGATCCAGATAGCAAGGTTATTGCTATATTTGTGTAATTTTTTTCTTGCTTTCTTCATTAATATGTATTACAATATCTGTGGAAACTTGTATCAGATCAGAAAGCCAGTTTGGTGTAGTAGTTAGGAGCGTGGACTCTAATCTGGGAGAATTGGGTTTTATTCCCCACTCTTCCTCATGCAGCTGCTGGTGTGACCTTAGGTCAGTCATAAGTTCTTTCAGAACTGTTCTCTCAAGGCGAGTCCTCTAGAGAGCTCTCTCAGCCCCACCTACCTCACAGGGTGTCTGTTGTGGGGAGGGGAAGGGAAAGGGATTGTAAGCCGCTGTGAGACTCCTTCAGGTAGTGAAGGGCAGAGTATAAATCTAACCTCCTCCTCCTCCTCTTCTTCTTCTGTTTTTCTAAATAATGAAAACTGATTGGTCATGAGCATGATCAAGTCACTTTAGAATATGCCATGTTTAACTTTCTAGATGAAATTCCAAAGTTGTAACATAAAACATAGACTGTTGTCCAGTGTATTTTCTGCTGAAATCAGAGATATGCATTAGGTTGTGGCTCTGTGTGTCTTCCTAGAAACAGCTTTGTTAGCAAACAGATCACATTGTTTATGTGGTAATGCCTGTTCCATCTGCCCTGTCATGAAAATATGCCAGTGTTTGGCAACTTCATTTGGCTCGAAGGACTGTTGAATGAAGATGTGTGTTTATTATCAGCTTGTTGTTTTGTAATAGAAAGTTTGCTGATCGCTGGCATGTCCTTAGACAGCCATAAACTCTTAGCTAATGTCTGTCAGTGAAATCAGCCCTTAACAGGAATCAAGAATTTAGGAATGTGGAGATTGGAATCACTGTCTGCACAAAAGGTAACAAACTTGCTTTGTCTGTGGACAAATTAATTATACATCTTCTATGGACCAGAAGACAGGCATTTTATTTACTGGTGAAGCAAACAATTCTGTAACTTGTAAAACTGTTTCATATGAGCTTTGAGATATCAGGAAGATACATGTTTGCAAGTAACGGGATACTAATTGTGAGTTTAAATTGTGGTCTTATGTGCATTTTATATAATTGATGTTTTATTTACATTATAAGCCTCCTTGAGTTCTGTAAAGTAGGAAGGCAGCTAATATATGTTATCAGTAAATAAAATACTGAAAATAATAATTTATTTTTAACCTTATTCTTCAAGATATTCTATATAAAGTTCACAATGTGTGTTTTATGTGTTCTTCTATTTGGAAGGAACCCTGTGGATATATCAGTGACCTTAGCATTCTATACCATGAGAACATGCCTTCTTTTTAACCTGAAATACGTCCAGAATGGCTAGAAATGCTTTAGCAAACAGAAGTGGT